CCCTACAGCACCCAGTATCGGAGGCGACCCCGTCCAGCTTTCTTTTCTAGGTACTGAAGAAGACACAAGAAGAATATAATAGAATATGATATAGAGGAAGTTGCATGGTGGTATTATAAGCGGGTAATATAAGGAAATAAGAAAAAGAAGGTTATAAACAAGATTGGGATTAAGATATAAACAGACGATATGTCACCTCAATGAGTTTTTGTTTTGTTTTGTTTAGTTTCAAAAGGAGTATAATATATTAGGAAAGAAATATCTGTATGAAATTGTAACATATAAGGAAATATAAGGAAATAAGAAAAAGAAGGTTATAAACAAGATTGGGATTAAGATATAAACAGACGATATGTCACCTCAATGGGTTTTTGTTTTGTTTCAAAAGGAGTATAATATATTAGGAAAGAAATATTTGTATGAAACTGTAACATATAAATAAAAAAATGAAGGGAAAAAAAAGTATTGGGTTAGTGAAGTGTATGTTACCGAGACATCTGATCGATCCAAAAGCGTTGATACACAAGCATGTTCTTTTCAGGTTCAGCAAGTGATTATAGATCCAAATGGTCGCTATATTATTTTGGTAGTGAAAAGCTCTGATTCTGTTGTTATTATGATTAGTGTGTATGGTCCATATGTAGATTCTCAAGACATCCCATTGATGTTTCAGCCGCTTGGTGAATGTTACATAGGTCTATTTCTTGGTGGGAGCAAATTTTAATGACACATGTGATAAAGCATGCACACGAAAGCTTATACCTTGAATAAAACTCTGTAAAGGTGCCACTGGACTCAGACTTTGTTCTATGTATAAATAAAGGTGGAGTATAAGTGAATCAAATAAATAAATACAAAGTACCTGTGTTCAACTGTAACACGAACAAGGGCTAGATAATAGCCTGACATTTGGCAGAATGGCAGGGGATGGGGGCAGATAGGGTTGCCAGATCCAGGTTGGGAAACTCCTGGAGATTTGGGGATGGAGCCTGGTGAAGACAGGGACCTCATTGGGGTACAATGTCACAAAGCCCCCCCCCCTCCAAAGCATCCCTTTTCTCCAAGGGAACTGATCTCTGTCATCTGGAGCCCACCTGGAGGCTGGCATCCCTATGACTGGCCTGGAATTTGGTGGGATTTGAGGTCTGGCTGGGGTTGCCATGCCGTCCCCTCTCCAAAGCATCCCTTTCCTCCAGGGGAACTGATCTCTGTAGTCTGGAAATGAGCTGTAATTCCAGGGGATCCCCAGGTCCCACCTGGAGGCTGGCATCCCTAGAGGAGAGCTGGCAGCAAAGCCAAGGTTGGCAAGGCTGAGAGAAAAATGTCCTCTCCCTTTTAGGGTGAACTTAATGTGTGGAAATGGGCAGTTTAAGCTTTTTCCCGGCACGAAGGTAAATAACATCGCTTGGTATTTTGTTGGAAGACTGAGCAGAGCACTAAAAATGCACAGCAGAATAAAAGCAGCCCATAGTCCTGTTGGCTAAAGACCTTGTGATCTCTAGAGCAAAGAAACAGGAACAAAATTTGCGTCCAGTGGCACCCTTAAGTCCAACAAAGTTTTAATCACACTATGAGTTTCGTGTGCATGCAGACTTCCTCAGAAAAAGCCTGTGTGACCAACCGCATGCAATAACCCCGATAAAACTGTTTCACCAATAAGGAAACTTAGAACCTCTTATGTAGAATACCATCTCCTCTTTCTCTGGGGGGGGGGGATCTACATGATGTCTAATTGGGCCTCTGCGAATCAATTCCTAGCTGTAAATGCGACAACAGATTAACTCTTTCATGACACAAGTGGAGGCACCTGCATAGTCCAACATATTTGCTGCTGATTCGGCTGATGTTAGAGGGAAAGCTAGGGGGACCCGTATAAACATTGGCAACTGCCAGACCTCAAATCCCACCAAATTCCATGCCAGGTTCTAGCAGGGATGCCAGCCTCCAGGTAGGACCTGGGGATCCCCTGGAATTACAGCTCATCTGCAGAGAACAGAGATCAGTTCCCCCAGGAGAACATGGATGCTTTGGAGAGTGGACTCTATGGCATTTTACCCCACTGAGGTCCCTGCACTCCCCAGGCTCAATCATCAAGTCTCCAGGAGTTTCCCAACCCAGATCTGGCAACTCTAACCCCCATTCCCCACCGCAACCCTATGGCAACTCTAGCCAGACCTCAGATCCCACCAAATCTCAGGCCAGTCTAGTAGGGATGCCAGCCTGCAGGTGGGACCTGGGGATCCCCTGGAATTACAGCTCACCTCCAGAAGACAGAGATCAGTTCCCCTGAAGGAAATGGCTGCTCTGGAGGGTGGCACTGTACCCCACTGGCACTGTACCCCACTGAGGTCCCTGTCCTCCCCAGGCTCCATCCCCCAATCTCCAGGAGTTTCCCAACCTGGAGCTGGCAACCCTATGACCCCCATTCCCCGCCGCAACCCTAGCCAGACCTCAAATCCTGCCAGATTCCAGGCCAGTCTTTTAGGGATGCCAGCCAGTGTTCCCTCTAAGCTGAGTTAGTGTGAGCCAGCTCACAGTTTTTCAACCTCCAGCTCACAGATTTCTGTCTTCGCTCAGGAAGGATGGCTCCAGAGCCAACTAATTTATGCAGCAGCCAAATTGCTCACTCACAGATTTCATGCCAGTAGCTCACAGAGTTGAATTTTTGCTCACAGGACTCCACAGCTTAGAGGGAACATTGATGCCAGCCTCCAGGTGGGACCTGGGGATCCCCCGGAATCACAGCTCCTCTTCAGACCACAGAGATCAGTTCTCCTGGAGAAAAGGGGATGCTCTGGAGGGTGGACTCTGTGGCCTTGCCCCCCACTGAGGTCCCTCTCCTCCCCAGGCTCCGTCTCCAAATCTCCAGGACCGTCCCAACCTGGATCCGGCAACCCTACCCAGCCGCCACCACCCCACCCGCCGCAACCCTATGGCAACCAGTGTTGCTTCTAAACTGAGTTAGTGTGAGCTAGTTCACAGTTTTTTAGCCTCCGGCTCACACATTTGTGTCTTAGTTCAGGAAGGACGGCTCCAGAGCAAACTAATTTATGCAGTAGCCCAATTGCTCGCTCACAGCTTTAATGCCAGTAGCTCACAAAGTAGAATTTTTGCTCACAAGACTCCACATCTCAGAGGGAACATTGATGGCTGGCAACCCTACCTAGGCCAGGCCAGAGTCCCGGCCAATCTCCCCGCCGGTGTGGCCAGGAGAGACCACCTGTCACCTGAGCCCGTGAAACCCCAGGCAAGGAGGCCGGGCGCGAGGCCCGCCCGTTAGGCGCCGCGTGTGGACTTGAGACCCTGCCCGGGGGTCGAGACCTCCCCCTCTCGGGCGGCACCTGGACTCCGGCCCCGGGGCTAAAGTTCCCCGCCGAGGCGGAGGGCGGCGAGAGAGCGGCGGCGGCGGGGCGCTGAAGGCCGGGCAGGGCAGCAGCAGAGGCAGCGCGGAGAGGCGGAAAGGAGCAATGGCGGCCGCAGCAGCCGAGGGGAAGTACCTGTCGGTGGTGGTGCACAAGGCCGGCGACTTGCGCTTGGTACGGCGCGGCGCCTCGCCTCAGTCAGGAAGGGAAGGGCCGCGGAAGGGGGTCGAGGGCGGGCACGGGGGTGGGGGTCGTGGGGGGTGCTGCTGAGGCAAATCGAAAGTGGGTTAGTCGGTGTGTTTTTTGGGGGGCTAGGGTCGCGTCACCTTGGCTCCCTGCCTTGAAATGGGGCTGCTGCCCAGCGTTGACAACTCCAGGTTTGGGGGAGTGCGGGAGATGTGGGAGCAGAGTCTGAGGAGGGCAAGGGGTGTGTTTTCTTTTTTTTTGGGGGGGGGAGCAGGTCCAATGTTCCCTCTAAGCTGTGGAGTCTTGTGAGCAAAAAATCTCCTTTGTGAGCTACTGGCATTAAAGTTGTGAGCGAGCAATTTGGCCGCCGCATAAACTATTTTGCTTTGGAGCCCTCCTTCCTGAGCTGAGACAAAAAAGTGTGAGCCGGAGGCTAAAAAACTGTGAGCTAGCTCACACTAACTCGGCTTAGAGGGAAGACTGGGGAGGTCAGGGTTGATGTGATTGAGACTAAAGCGGCCAATATTGTAAGGCCACACTGTGTAGATCTGTGGTGCGTGGCCTCTTCTGGTGTACTGTGCAGAGGTCTAGGTTTGAGTCCCGAGTGGCACCTTGAAGACCGGCCAAGTTTAATTCTGGGTATAAGCTTTCCTGTGCAGGCACACTTCATCAGATAAATCACACTAATGATGAAATGTGCATGCACGCCGAAGGTTATACCCAGAATTAAACCTGGTTGGTCTTCAAGGTGCCACTGGCCTTTGTTGTATTACTTCGGACCAACACAGCTCTACTTGTCCACTGAAGAAGTGTGCCTGCACAGGGAAGCCTATACCCAGAATCAAACTTCGTTGGTCTTAAAGGTGCCGCTGGACTTCAACTTTATTCTGTTGCTTCAGAGCAACGCGGATACCCTCCTCAATCTGCGTCTAGTTCTGGTCACAGTATCTCCAAAAGGACATTAGGTAAAGGTAAAGGTTCCCTTGCTCGAAAGCCAGTCGAATCCGACTCTAGGGTTGTGGTGCTCATCTCCGTTTCCAAGCCGAAGAGCCAGTGCTGTCCGAAGACGTCTCCGTGGTCATGTGGCCGGCATGACTAAACACCGAGGCGCACGGAACGCTGTTCCCTTCCCACCGAAGTGGTACCTATTTATCTACTTGCAATGTCTTGCTTTCGAACTGCTAGGTTGGTAGGAGCTGGAACCAGACATGGGAGCTCACTCCGTCATGTGGCACACTCGGGTCTCGAACCGCTGAACTATCGGCCTTCCACAGCCTGCAGTTCAGCGTCTTAACCACTTGAGCCACCGCAGCAAGGACGTTGCAGAGCTGGGAAAAGGAAAGACGAGAGCAACCGAGATGGTTAGGGGACTGAAGCACCTTCCCTATGAGGAAAGGCTGAAGCATCTGGGACTTTTCTGTTTAGAAAAGAGATGACTAAGGGGGACATGAGAGAGAGCTTTATAGAATTTTGCATGGGGTGGAGAGAGTTGACCAAGAGAACCTTTTCTCCCTTTCCCAAAATACTAGAACTTGAGGGCATCCAATGAAGCTGATGGGCAGTAGGTTCAGGATGGACAAAAGGAAATACTGCTTTACACTGAGAGTGATTAAAATGTGGAGTTCACTGCCAGAAGATGTAGTGATGGCCATAGGAATAAACAGCTTTAAAAGGGGATTAGATAGATTCATGGAGGATAAGTCGATCAATGGCTACTAGTCATGGTGACTGAGGGGAACCTCCACATTCAGAGGCACTAAGCCTCTGAAACCCAGTGCCAGGAGGTAACATCAGGGGAAGGCCTTGGCCTCTATGCCCTGTTCTTGGCCCTCTAAAGGAACTGGTTGGCCACTGTGTCAGACTAGATGCTGGACTAGATGGACTACTGGTCTGATCCAGCAGGACTCTTCATATGACACCAGTTTAGGGTCACCAATAGAGTTGTCCACTTTTCAATTGGGCCCTCTGGCTTTCCCTTTTAACGTCAGTTAGATCTGCAGCAAATTGGATCTCCTGGCCAATTAGATCTCCCGGCCAGTTGCCAACTCAGGTTTGAGAAATTTGTGGAGATTTGGGGTGCAGTACCTTGGGAATGGACTTTTGTTTCTCCTGGAATCTATGGTATACTATAGAATCTGCCCTCCAAAGTTCCCATCCCCCCCCCCCGGGAAACGATTTCCGTAGTCTGGAGATCATATATAATGCTGGGAGATCTCCAGGCCCCACCTGGAGGCTGGCAACCCTAGCATGGGGTCCACCCTTCAGCCATTTTCTCCAGAAGAAGAAGAGCCAGTTTGGTGTAGTGGTTAAGAGCGGCAGACTCTAATCTGGAGAAGCTCTTCCACATGAAGCCAGCTTGGGTGACTTTGGGCCAGTCACAGTTCTTTCAGAGCTCTCTCAGCCCCTAAAAACAAGTCAAGCTCGTCACACTAAGAGCTAGAACTTGCAGATGCTATCCTACACACAATGCCAATAATAATAATAACAACAACAATAATAAATTTTTCTGGAGATCAGTGGTAATTCCAGGGGTTCTCCAGGCCCTGTCTGGAGGCTGGCAACCCTGAGGAGGCAATCAGGTGGACACCTGGGTTGCTAGCCTCCCCCCCCCCATTTCTTCCATGCCTTGGAAAATTCCACCTGCTGATAAAAACGTTTCAGGCTGGGTAGCCCTGTGAATCTGCAGCAGGTAGAACTAAAATTGAGCCCAGTAGAGGAAGCTGCGGTGGCTCAAGTGGTTAAGACACTGAACTGCAGGCTGTGGAAGGTCGGTAGTTCAGCAGTTCGAGACCTGGGTGCCGCAAGACGGAGTGAGCTCCCTTCTCTAGTTCCAGCTCCTGCCAACCTAGCAGTTCGAAAGCAAGAAATTGCAAGTAGATCAATAGGGACCACTTCGGTGGGAAGGGAACAGCGTTCCGTGCGCCTCGGTGTTTAGTCATGCCGGCCACATGACCACGGAAACGTCTTCGGACAGCGCTGGCTCTTCGGCTTTGAAACGGAGATGAGCACCGCAACCCTAGAGTCGGATTCGACTGGCTTTCGAGCAAGGGAACCTTTACCTTTAGCACCTGAAAGACAAACACCATTTTTTCCAGGGTATAATACGCTCTCGTGAGTCAGTGCTCAAATCTGCCAAAGTGAGCCGCTGACTCATGAAAGCTTATAGCTTGGAAAACATGGTGATTTAAGCCGCTCTTAAAGCCCTTTGCAGAAGCCAGGTGGTTGTTGGTGGTTCTTGTTCGGTCGAATTGGCGAACCTGTGGGCAACCAGTAGTCATGTTTCCTAGAAAAAGGCGTGAGCTGGGCAGTGTATGTGCCCCTTTTTTACATTTCGTGTGGGAAATGCAAACACTGGCTGCATGCAGTCGTAGATGAGCTTCCAAGGGTGGTCTTCAAAGGTTTATTTTTTTATTTATTTATGTTATTATATTTATACCCCGCCCTCCCTGCGAACGGGCTCAGGGCGGCTTAAATAAGGCACAAAAGTGCATATAATATATAAAAGCTAAAAACAATTAAAATTCGGTTCCATCAGATGCACAATAGAAAACTCCTAACATTTTGTATAACAGGAGGGGAGGGCTAGGGCTGCAACAGATATTACCCGGCCCTCCGGCAGTGTCTCTCTGTGGTGGAGCGGTGGTGGTAGTGGCAGTGGCGGCTCCTACTCAAAAGCCTGGTGGAAGAGCTCCGTCTTACAGGCCCTGCGGAACTGCGCAAGGTCCTGCAGGGCCCTGATCTCATTATTCCACCAGATAGGAGCCGCCACTGAAAAGGACCTGGTCCTCGTTGCGGCAAGCCTGGCCTCCTTGGGGCCCGGGGTCACCGACCGAATTGCTCCTTGGAGAATATATGAGAAAATGCAGTCCATCAGGTATGTTGGACCCTGGCCATGTAGGGCTTTAAAGATAAGCACCAGCACTTTGAAGCGAATCCGGTATGCTATAGGCAGCCAGTGCAGCGCTTTCAGTACAGGTCGGGTGTGCTCCCACCTAGGGGCGCCCACCAACAACCTGGCCACAGCATTCTGCACCAGCTGCAGCTTCTGGATTTGCGACAGAGGCAGCCCCATGTAGAGAGCGTTACAGTAGTCTAACATCGAGGTGACCGTCGCATGGATCACTGTAGCTAGGTCATTGCGGTCGAGGAAAGGAACCAACTGCCGTACCAGCCGAAGATCATGCAATGCTAAAGTTAATTTCCTGGGATTAAGTCCCTTTGAATAGCATGGGACTTGCTTGGTCAAGTAGACCTATTTAGGATCCCTCCCAAACTTTATCTTTTATTATTATAATATATATTTTAAAAATTAACAACAAGCTCTTATAGCCAATAGCATACCTCCCAAAAGCTTTTGAAACGTGCTCTTAACCTGTAACGGGAACCTCACTTTTCAACATCTGTAAATCGTTTTTCTCCCGCAGGGTGAGGATTGCTAAATGGAGTGTGTGTGTGTTGTTGTGAAGTTATTGAATTTGGAAATTGTTTAGAGAGAATTGAAAAGTAAATTGTGGTTAGGACTGGATTTGCTAAAGGTATTGTTTGCTTCTAGCTTTGTCGAAATGTATCCTGCTTCTTTTCGGAAGTTCCACATTTAGTCTACCCTCTGTCTCTCAGCTAGAGTTGTAGTTAGGACCAATAATCCCTCTAAACTGTGGAATTTTGTGAGCAAAAATTCTGCCTTTTGAGCTACTGGCATTAAAGCTGTGAGCGAGCGATTGGGCTACTGCATAAATTAGTTTGTTCTGGAGCCCTCCTTCCTGAGCCTAAGACAAAAACGTGTGAGCCGGAGGGTAAAGAACTGTGAGCTAGCTCACACTAACTCAGCTTAGAGGGAACACTGCCCCCTCAGGGCCCTTTCTATTCAGAGAGGAGCTTTCTATAATTTAAGGGTTTTTCCCCCCTTCTGGTGGTAATGGAAAGTGCCATCAAATCACAGCTGACTTATGGCGACCCTGTGGGGTTTGCAAGGCAACAGATGTTCAGAGGTGGTTCGCTGTTGCCTGCTTCCACATCACAACCCTTGGTGGGCTCCCATCCAGGGGTCATTTCCCGCAGGAGCACACAGGAGCAGAGCTCCGGCAGTAAAGAGCCCAGGGGGCGGGCATATGCAACAAGCCCCACCCCCTGCTCCCAGCAGCCCTCAGTCAGAGCAAGGAGCAGCCAGGTAAGTTGCAGAGCCCCGGCCCCCCGGTCCAAAACAGTCCAGTGGCCCCTTTAAGACCAAGTTTTATTCAGGTACAAGCTCTCCCTCCTCTGCGAGGACAGATCTGCACGCTCCCCCCCCCCAATAGCTAGCAATCCAAAACAGTCCAGTGGAGCCTGAGCGGTGGGTGTTGCCTTCCGACACACTTCCGGTGATGTCAGGGGGTGTGGCATATGCAAATGAGTTATGCTAATGAGTTATGCTAATGAGCTCCTGCACCTCTTTCTATGAAATCCCCCCTGCTCCCATCCAAATACTATCCAGGGCCGACCCTGCTTAGCTCCCAACATCTGACGAGATCGGGCTAGCCTGGGCTACCCAGTTCAGGGCATAGTGGGATTTTAAGCAGTCGTATTTCAGAACATGGGCTTAAACTCATTTAGGAAGGTTTACATTGTCATTCTGAACAGTTACAGTCTTCTAAGCCTGCAAGGGATGTAGAAGGTTGTAACCTTGCGTAGCATGGGACAGACTGAAATCCTAAACATGCTTAATTATAACAACCGTTTCAGCCAGTGCTCCCTCTAAGCTGTGGAGTCCTGTGAGCAAAAATTCTGCTTTGTGACCTACTGGCATTAAAGTTGTGAGCGATTTGGCTGCTGCATAAATTAGTTTGCTCTGGAGCCAGCCTTCCTGAGCTAAGACAAAAACGTGTGAGCCGGAGGCTAAAAAACTGTGAGCTAGCTCACACTAACTCAGCTTAGAGGGAACACTGGTTTCAACTGAATTTGATGGTGTTTACGTCTGAGTAAATATGGTTAAGGATCAGGCTGGCGTGTCTGTGTCCAAGAATATATTTGACGTGTTATTTATTGAAGTCCATTATTTGTCGTCCGCCTTTCTCACTTGGACTCAGGGCGGATTACGCAGGGTGAGTCAGTCTAATCGACGGCACGGAGCATTCAGTGAACAATGCAAATTGGGGTTGCCAACCCCCAGGTGGGGCCTGGCAATCTCTTGCTATGACAAATGATCTCCAGACAACAGAGTTCAGTCCCCCTGGATAAAATGGCCGCTTCAGAGGGTGGACTCTGGTCTTGTACCTTGCTGAGGTCCCTCCCCTCCCCAAACCCCGCCTTCCTCAGGCTCCACCCCTCAAATCTCCAGGAACTTCAGCACCCGGAGCTGTCAACCCTAAATGCGATAGGATTACGATTGTAGAATCTGGAGCCAATTACAATCTAAAAGCAAAGCATAAGTATGAACATGACACACTGAATGATGCAAAATTGCAGTGGTTAAGACGCTGAACTGCAGGCTGTGGAAGGTCAGTAGTTCAGCAGTTCAAGACCCGGGTGCCGCATGATGGAGTGAGCTCCCATCTCTAGTTCCAGCTCCTGCCAACCTAGCAGTTCGAAAGCAAGAAATTGCAAGTAGATAAATAGGTACCACTTCGGTGGGAAGGTAACAGCGTTCCGTGCGCCTTGGTGTTTAGTCATGCCGGCCACATGACCACGGAAACGTCTTCGGACAGCGCTGGCTCTTCGGCTTTGAAACGGAGATGAGCACTGCAACCCTAGAGTCGGATTCGACTGGCTTTCGAGCAAGGGAACCTTTACCTTTACCTTTTTACTTAAAATGCTAATGGACTTGACTCTAGCTACTTAACAGCATGCTATACATAGTAGAATAAACCACAGTTGCCATTTTGTTTGAACCCCCCCCCCCCCCCCGCCCCCGGTAGCGGTTTCATTAGTTGTGCATAGTTAATTCATCTCACTGGATTGGGTTTAACAGGTGTGCTGTTTAGTGTAAGTGGTTCTCACACCTCTGTTTTTTGTGTGTGAATTCCTGACATGTTTATCCACCTCTGAGCAATGTCCCACCAGTATGTGCCCAGCACCATCAACTCTTGCCCTAGCTTGGTGTGTTCTGGGCACAGGTGGTCTGAATCAGCCCTCTGACTGTATCCCGGAGTAAAAAAGAAGTCACAGGTAGCTGTGCTGAGACCAAGCAGAATCCCCAAACAAGAACAAAGCCCACATAATACCTTTTAGGAGGACCTACTAAAATGATGTCCTGACTTGTATGGCCCAGGCTAGCCCGATCTTGTCAGATTTTGGAAGCGAAGCAGGGTCAGCCCTGGCTAGTGGGAGACCTCCAAGGACGTCCAGGGTTGCTGCACAGCGGCAGGCCATGTCAAAACACCCCTGTATGGGTCACACTAACTTGGCTGCAGCTTGACAGCCTTTTCTACCCCCAAGCTAGCCCTCGTCTGGTGCCCCAGGCTGGCCTGATCTGGTCAGATCTCGGAAGCTAAGCAGGGCCGGCCCCGGTTAGTTCTGGGACGGGAGACCACCTAGGAAGTCCAGAGTCACAATGCAGAGGAAGGTGATGGCAAACCACCTCTGCTGTTCTCTTTTCTATCATGACCGGCACCCTCTCCTTTCCCCCCTCCCCTTGATTCTGATCTTCTGTTTCCTGTCCCCTTGCCCAGAAAATGGCCAGGCAATCCAGAACTGGGATGAAAATTTCAAGGGCGCCATCTGGGACTTCTTTTTAACCTGTTTTCTCTAATTTGTCATTCTATTTTTCCTATATTTGAGTCATTAATGTTTTCTACATCTGTTTTATGGCTTTGTGCCTCTGCTGTACACCACCCAGAACCCGACACAAGCTGGGATTGGGTGATTAATAAATCAAAGTGATGATGATGCCCAACGGGGTTGCCATAAGTCGCTTGTGACAGGAGGGCACTTTCCACCGCCACTAAAGTGACACAGAACAGCATGGAAACTTTCACGTTTCACCAGAACTGTGCCATCAGCCTGCATGTTATGAATGGTTATTTCTTTCTAAGGGTGGAGGGAGGGAATGGATGACTCAGGTCATGATCTTAAGACCCCGCCTTCTCAGCATCCCATGCCAAATGCTGAACCAACCTGCGGAATTAAAATGGTGCTTCCGTTGGGTTGCGTCCCTGGATTCCTGGGAGCGAGAAGTGACGAACGGGATCCTCCCCTTGGAAACACAAATGCCAGCGATTGTCCCTGTGTCAGCTTTTAGGCAAGCTGAATCTTGTCCCTTCTGTTTCCTTACAGGAAAACCGGCCGATACCTGAACCAGGTCCCAATGGTAGGTTTGTGTGGATTAGTTTCTGTTTCAGCTTGTGGATCATTTGGATGTGTTTTACGTTTATGGTTATGTGAGTCATTGCTAAGGCAAGCTCCCAGATTGTTCAGATTCTCTTTGCACTCTGCTCACTTACCCAAAACTCAATTATTTACTTCATTTGTACTTTCTCCCCCAATTGAGACCTAAAAGTACTTGCAGAAGAAGAAGATATTGGATTTGTACCCCGCCCTTCACTACCTGAAGGAGTCTCAGAGTGGCTTACAATCTTCTTTCCCTTCCCTTCCCCACGACAAACACCCTGTGAGGCAGGTGGGGCTGAGAGAGCGCTTCCGAGGACTGCTCTTCCAATGTTCCCTCTGTGGAGCTGTGCGAGCAAAAATTCTACTTTGTGAGCTATTGGCATTAAAGTTGTGAGCAGGTGATTTGGCTACTGCATAAATTAGTTTGCACTGGAGCCATCCTTCCTGAGCTAAGACAAAAATGTGTGAGCCAGAGGCTAAAAAACTGTGAGCTAGCTCACACTAACTCAGATTAGAGGGAACAGTGCTCTTGACCCAACGTCACACCAGCAGCTGCATGTGGAGGAGCGGGGGAATCAAACCGGGTTCTCCCAGATTAGAATCCGCGCTCCTAGCCACTACACTCGCACTGTTCTCCTCACTTCCATCTTATCCTCACAACAGCCCTGCGAGGCAGATTAGGCTGAAAGGGTATGACTGGCCCAAGGTCACCCAGCGAGTTTCCATGGCTTGAGTGAAGATTCAAACCCAGGTCCAGATCTAGTCTAGATCTCCTAACCGCTATACCACACTGGCTCTCCTATAGCCTTTTCTATCAGCATAGTTGGTTCAGTGAAAGCCATACTTGTGAGTCATTTCAGCTCTTGAGTTTCCCATTCCTTCTCTGATGCACTGAGGCCCCGGTCACACGCGAGGAAATGGGCCGGGAGAGGGACGGAACGGATGCGTGGCAAATGGGCGCGATCCCACGGCAACATCTGGGAAGCGTTGCCCGGCCATCCCCGTTCTGTCCCTCCCGCCTGAAACCCCGCACCAGAAAAGAACCACCTACCTGGGTGGTTCATGCTGACGGGCCGCATGCTCCTGGCCGAACTGCGCATGTGTGAGCATGCGCAGTTCGCCAGCCTCCCCTTCCCACCGTCGCTTTCTCCCCGGCATCTGATCGTGCCGGGGAGCGACGGCGCCACGGCTCAGGGGATCCGTGGGATCCCGCCGAGTCGTCTCAACTTTGGTGCGGCTCAGATTAGCCGCACTTCGCCCGTCGCTTTTCCTGCCGTGTGGCAGGGACCTGAGTTTCCTAAGCAGTCATATTTTCCAAGGGGAAGACCTTTTCCATGTAGGAGACTGTGCTGGTGTTGCATTCTGAAAGATCTTCTGTTTCTCTGCATATACATTAACCTCATGAGGTCCCATAGAATCTCCCGCTGGCTGCCTTCACAAGAGGCTTGCCAACCTCCAGGTGGGGGAACCCGGAGCTCTCCCAGAATGATGACTGATCTCCAGCATAGGAAATGGCAGCTTCTCAGTGTGGACTCTGTCGAATCCCATCTTTGCTGAGTTCCCTCCTCTCCCCCAAACTCCACACTCCCCAGCTACCCCACCACCACCAAATCTCCAGGAATCTGCCCAGACAGAGTTGGCTAATTTACTCCAAGACCAAATAAACAGTATGTTGCAGTATTTCGTAGGCACTGAAGGTACTCACTGCGGTCTTCTGCAGTGTTCTCTCTAAGCTGAGTCAGTGTGAGCCAGCTCACAGTTTTTTAGGCTCCGGCTCAGACTTTTTTTGTCTTAGCTCAGGAAGGATGGCTCCAGAGCAGACTGATTTATGCAGTAGCCAAATCACTCGCTCACAACTTTCATGCCAGCAGCTTACAAAGTAGCATTTTTGCTCGCAAGACTCTACAACGTAGCGGGAGCATTGGTCCTCTATGTCTCTCCATGTTGGACCTTGCCCTGTTTATAGGAGTAGACCACTCACCTGTGCTAGGGTTGCCAACTCCTGGTTGGGAAGCACTTGGAGATTTTTGGGGGGTGGAGCCCGGGGAGGGCAGGGTTTGGTGAGAGGAAGGACCTTCTAATGCCATAGAATCCAAAGTAGCCGTTTTCTCCGAGTTAACAAATCACCATTGTCTGGAAATCGGTGTAAATATGGGAGGTCTCTGGGCCTCACCTGGAGGTTGACAACACAATACATGAGCAGTTAACTATAGAGGATCTCCAAACCTTTGGTAACGTGATGGAATGAGCAGTGAGTTATCTGTGTGTGTTATGAATCAGGGAAACAGTAGTTTTATGGCAGGGGAGGGGTAGTTCAAACTCCATTGAATCGGCAGAGAGCAAAGGAAATGGGAGCGAGACGTGATAAGCTTCAGAAGTCAACAGGGATGGGTTTAGGCAGAGGGCAGGAGGGCAGGCAAGGTGATCAATGGATGTAAAAGAGTTACAGGCTGCATTGCCACGTGTGTTGGAGAGAGAGACAGAGTACAAGGTGCTCGTGGTTTAAGATCGCAGTCCAGTTAGACTGTAAAAACCGACAAAATCCTCGATGGTATAGCGAGTGATGATATGAGAAAAGAAGCTGGAGTGGACCCTATCCCTGCGTAACAAAATACGAACGCTAGAGTTGCTGAATGAGCCGGTGTCAGATTACAGTTATGCATCAGACGTTTGCCCCATGGTACAAAACGACGAAGAACAACCATTCCAGAGCTTCTTATTTGGTCAACATAACAGCTCATAATTTAAGAACGGCATTTACAGTGTTGCACTTTCAAACAGTGCCAACTGAGCGACTAACAGGCCGGTACACTAAAACCCCAACTGGTCAACGTATTTGCCTGTGTAAAAGCTTTGTGGAAAGTCTACCACAGTGTGTTCTGACCTGTCCCTTGTATCTGGGTCCCAGAAAGAAATTCCTGGCCGTGATTTTAGCCAATCTACAGTCCTCTTCTGATCCCGAAAAATTAGTTTATCTGCTCTCTGATACGGAGCTTTCTGTGTCGTACAGAATGGCTCTTCTTGCCCTGGCTGCTAGGAAGATCAGAGCGAACTTAGTCTCTAAAAGTATCTCTAACTGAATTGTTCTAGTGTTATTGTGCTGATTGTATGCTGAGGTATTAACTTTGCTTGCCTGTAATGATGTTTTAAGTAAAGGTAAAGGTTCCCTTGCTCGAAAGCCAGTCGAATCCGACTCTAGTGTTGCGGTGCTCATCTCTGTTTCAAAGCTGTCCAAAGACTTCTCCGTGGTCATGTGGCCGGCATGACTAAACACCAAGGTGCACGGAACGCTGTTACCTTCCCACTGAAGTGGTACCTATTTATCTACTTGCAATTTCTTGCTTTCGAACTGCTAGGTTGGCAGGAGCTGGGGCCAGAGATGGGAGCTCACTCTGTCATGCGGCACACTCAGGTCTCGAACTGCTGAACTACCGACCTTCCACAGCCTGCAGTTCAGCATCTTAACCACTTGAGCCACCGCAGCTCCCAATGATGTTTTAGATATGTTTTAACTGTGAAGGCCAATGGCCATGAACAATGAATTCAGTGCAATACAAGATCTTTGAGGTACAAGCTTTCAAGAGTCAAAATCCCCTTCATTTTTTGACTAGGACTCTCAAAAACCCATACCCACCCAAATCTGGTTGGACACTCAGGTACTTCTGGACTCAAACCTTGCTGTTCTATGGCAGGTCAAAATGGCTGCCCTCTGGAACAATCTGTTTTAAGATGAAAGGTGACCAATGAGTACGAAGAAGCCGCTTTGTTGCCTGGCAAACGCTATGTCCACAAAAAAGACTCTTTCTTTCATGCATGTATTTACTTTTTTTATAATCCTCCTCTCTTGCTGCGACTTGTCACAGATCATACAATTAAAAAATAATGCTGTAAGAATGGTGGAATGCATTCCTTAAAATGGGTTACAAAACCAGATAACAGTGCAAGAAAAGAGTAGGATACACACACTCCAGAGTGACCAAAGCAATGAGCGCATGAGGTTTGCAGTGTGCTGGTGACTTTGATACCCATGTAAACGTTAGAGGCCTATGTGTAAGTCAAGGGTCCTCAAACTTTTTGGGTCTGTGGGCCAGTGTTCCCTCTAAGCTGAGTTACTGTGAGTTAGCTCACAGTTTTTTAGCCTCCGGCTCACACACTTTTGTCTTTGCTCAGGAAGTAGGGCTCCAGAGCAAACTAATTTATGCAGTAGCCAAATGGCTCGCTCACAACTTTAATGCCAGTAGCTCACAAAGTAGAATTTTTGCTCACAAGGCTCCACAGCTTAGAGGGAGCATTGGTGTGGGCACATTTGCAATTCTGGCATGGCTTGGTGGGCATAGCAACAAAATGGCTGCCAGTCACATAAGGTTGCCAGCCCTGTGTTGGGAAGTTCCTGGAGATTTTGGGGGTGGAGCCTGAGGAGGGCGGGGTTTGGGGAGGGGAGGGACTTCCGTGGGGTATAATGCCATAGAGTCCACCTTCCAGAGCAGCCATCTTCTCTAGGGGAACTGATCTCTTGCACCTGGAGATCGACTGTAATCCCAGGAGTGAGCCACAAAATGATTGCCACAGCTTAACTTCAGTCACACAGTGTAGCTCCTTGTGCTGTGGTGGCAGCTCCTGCCTAAACAGGATTTTTTTTTTAAATCTGCACAGCTGATCAGGAGCCTTACTGGGCAACAAGCCCTACCTGGCCCCACCTGCTTCCTAAAAACATTTGGCAGGCACCAGAAAAGGTGTCAGCAGGCCCCATGGCGCCCAGGGGCACCCCATTGAGGATGCCTGGTGGAAGTGTTGTGGTTGTACAGGACAGGATTGTTCTCTCTCTCTCTCTCTCTCTCTCTCTCTCTCTCTCTCTCTCTCTCTCTCTCTCTCTCTCTGTCACCTTTCTTTATCACCTTCATCAGTGCTTGAGGGTTGTGGAGGGGAGGCGTGCAGGTGATTTCTTCAGTAATTTCGAAAGAAGTAGATCTTGGCTGCAAA